TGTTGCACTCATGCTCTGGTTCAGCCTCTCATTACCCAAACCTAACAGGGTCAGAGAACGTCTCCGAGCTTTTCTCCCTGAAGCAACTTCAACCCTCGTCCAAAACTCACCCGTTTCAGCCGTTTTGACGGCCGTGTCGATCAGCCCTTCTCGGCCTCCCATGGCATGGAAGAAGAACTCGGTGGGGGTCAGTCCAGCCAAGTACGAATTCTCCACGAAGCCCCTGCTCTCCGGCCCGTAGTCGTCTTTGATGAAGTGGGGCAGGGTGCAATGCTTGAAGCCGAAGGGGATGAGTTTCCCTTCCATGTTCTGCTGCCCCACCATGGCGATGACCTGGAGGGGGGGTGGGAAGAGAGTGGCCGAGTCAGCCCAGACCTCTGGTGAACCATACCTCCCCCAAGTCTTGAGTTTGTTTTTATATCCTGCTTTTATTACTATAATTTATAAATAAGGGTAAAGGTATCCCAGTGCTGCTTCTTCCTATTTTCCCAAGAACAGCCCTGTGGTTGTTGTTGTTCTTGTGGGGAAAATAGGAAGAAGGAGCATTGGATACGTTCACCCCTATTGATGGGTTGGACTGAGAGAGGGACTGGCCCAAAGTCACCCAGCCAGCATTCATATCTAAGGCAGGCCTAGAACTCCCAGTGGAAGTAGAACTCACCGTCTGCTAGAGATTGGCCCAGTCACCCAGCTGGCTTTCTGCCTAAGGGAGGCCTAGAATTCTAGTCTCCTAGTGATTGACCCAAACTCACCCAGCCAGCTTTCATGCCTAAAGGAGACCTAGAACTCCCATTCTCCTGGAAATTGGCCCAAAGTCACCCAGCCGGTTTCCATGCCTAAGGCGGAACTAGAACTGTCTCCCACTTTCCGGTTTGGAGCCTTAACCCCAGATCAAACTGGCTCTCAAAATCAATTGCCTGCCTAGAGACCTGAACCCTGGGCCCACCGGTGAAACCTCTGATGCTCTACTAAGCTCTCTGGAGTGGTGGGAGGTGGGCCCTACCTGGGAGATGTTGATCTTGGAGCCTTTGGCCCCCGAGACCACCATGGACTTGAAGTTGTTGTACTCTGAGAGTGACTTCTGGGCAGAGGAGCCGGTCTTGTCTCGGGCGTTGTTCAGGATGCGGTTGACCTGGTTCTCAAAGGTTTGGCGCAGGGTGTTGCCAGGGGTGGGCTCCAGCTCGTTGTTGTGGGCTTTCTCGATGACCTGGAGGATGGAAGAGATGGCAAGGGTTCAAGGCAGGCCCAAGGAGACAGGCCAGGCTTCTGACTCCCTCCTTCTCTCCTATCTATTTCCTCTCTCCCTCCCCTCTCTCCCTCTTTTCTTCTTCCTTCCTTCCCATCTCTATTACTTCTTTCCTTCCTTCCCTTCCTTCTCCTTTCCACCTTCCCTCTCTCCCTCCTTCCTTCCCCCTCCCCATCTCTATTTCTTCCTCCCTTCCACCCACTTCCCTTTCTCCCTCCTTTCCTTCTCTCCTTCCTCCCTTCCCTCTCTATTCCTTCTTTCCTTCCTTCCCTTATCCTTTCCATTGACTTCCTCCCTCCCTCCCTCCTTCCTTCCCCCTTCCCTTCTCTATTCCTTCCCCCAACACGCATCTCCCTCACAGAGGGAGATTTTTCCTCCTCAAATTTCCCCCATGTTCCTGGAGCAGCTCTTGCCTATTCTGCTGTTCTCTACTGAAGATTTCCCCACTATTCTGATTTTTTTTAACTTGATCCCACTTTTAATCCAACTTGGAAACTTTTTCAAAAGCAACTTTAAGTTTGTTGAAACAGAGCCAGCTCCCTCCAGTCTCGAGCTCCAAGCACCAAGAGAAGAGAATATTTGTTGCTCAGGACCTTGCTGGTCTCTGAGCTGGGTTGTTTTCTTGCAGACATTTCATGACCCAACTTGGTAACATCATCAGAAGGGAGTGGGATTAACCAGTACTGATGTTCCCTAGTTGTGAGTCATGAAATGTCTGCAAAAACAAAACAAAAAACAACCCAGCTCAGAGAGTGCCAAGGACCCAACAGGCCTTCTCCTCCTCCTTCCTCCACTCTGCAAACCTCACTACCTTTAGTGTTGATGATGTTACCTAGTTGGGTCACAAAATGTCTGCAAGAAAACAACCAAGTTCAGGGAACACCAAGAAACCCCCAAGGAACAAACAGGGTGACCCAGTCCCAGGTCCTGGCATCTAACCCATGTCTTATCAGCTTCCCAGATCCGTGTGTCTTTGTGGCTTGCTCCCCTACCTCTAGCACATCCTGTTTGGCTTTCTTGATAGTGTTCTGGATGTCCTGGTAGGTCTTGGCATCAGCGATGGAGTCCCCAATACCAATGGTGTGCCCTGGGAAAGAAGAAGAGCGATTTGAAGGCCAGGGAAAAAAACCAAAAAACCAGGCATTGGCCTCCCCCAAGTGCTGTTTGGAAAAGCCACATATCCCTAAAAAAACCCAAGAGCTTTACTTGCTCTCCTGGCCTTTCAAAAATATGTAAAGACCTGGCTCAGCCGTCTTGCTTGGGGCCTCACAGAGGAGCATGCAGCTGTGGGGGGCTGGTGAGTGCCCCCCAAAGACCTCCCCCTGACTTTCAATTAAATGTCAGTGTTAAAATTGTAACTAACTTTACCTCTATTTTAAATTTAGTTTTTATATTTATGGATGGATGGATGGATGGTGGGGGGGTGGGGAGAGAGAGAAAGAATAGACAAATATAACAGACAGACAGAAGGCAGGTAGGTAGAGACTGAATTAGATAACATACATAGAAATTGAAATAGGTGATAGAGATTGAACAAGATAGAGAGAGACAGGCAGGCAGGCAGGCAGCAGACAGGTAGATATATAGATGACAGATAAAGACAGACAGACAGGTAGGTAGACAAACAGCAGATGGATAGACAGCAGACAGACGGGACAGATAGCAGATAGAGAGAGAGAGACAGAAACAGACAGACAGACATATAGACACGTAGGTAGACAGAGACAAACAGTAGATGACAAAGACAAACAGACAGGTAGGTAGATGGACAGATACAGACAGACAGACATTGAATTAGACAATAGGCAGACAGACAAACTGTTTTTGGATTTTCAGCAAAATATCCCTTGTGGTATGAAGATACCCCCCAATGCCACCCGTGGCCTGAAGATGCCCGCCAAAAGCAGCCCTCTTTTCCAAGGAACTGAGCACCAGGGCCCCACCCACCCACTTTTCCCAAAGGCTTCCCCGATGCTGGGGAGAGGGCAAAGTCCTGGCATCCCCCGCCAGCCTACCTCCGATGAGCAACCAGTTGTTGATGACCGTCTGGTTTTTGCTGTAGAACAAGCGGGTGATGTCGTGGCCCATCTCCAGGTAGGAGATGTGGACCAGGGAGCCGGCTGAGGTGCCCAGGGACTTCTTACACAGGATGCCCATGATCAGCTCTCCGTTCTCCACAATCACCTGGAGATTGGGAGGAGGTATGTGGAGCCAGCCAGCCTCGCCTTCCATCTGAAGGCTGTAGGATCGGGGGATGAAGCTCCACCACCCAAGCTAAGCCTGGGATGAAGGGTGTGTCCCCAGGGATCCTACCCCAAACACTACCCCTTCCAGCCCACCTCCCTCATCACTGGTGGGGCCAAACACTTCTATAACAGGTTGGGTTTTCTGTAGATATTACAGAGTTGGGACCTTGTAGGTCATCTAGTCCAACCTCCCTCCTCCCAAGCAGGAGACCCTACACCATTTCTGACAGATGGCAGTCCACTCTCTTCTTTTTTTTTTAAAAAAAAAACAAGTTTTATTGGGTTTTAAAGACAAACAAAAACAAACAAAACATAAAAACATCCAACTTTCTTTCATAAATATACAAGCAGTCTGTCGGTTGGTTTACAAATTTTTGTGCATCCATTTCATAGTCTCAATTACAGTTACATTGCATAATAAGTCATATTATCAATCAAAAATTGAATACCCTAGTATCACTATTAAACAACCATTTGACTATAATTTTATTCATTCATACTTTGCGAGATAACTATAATTTGCTTAGCTTATTTTATAACAATTCAAATAATTCTCCCAAATCTATCCTAAAAACATTTTATAGATATGATAACAAAAAAAAATATACATCTTTATATATTCATTATTTTCTAAAATTCTACATATTCTATTATTGTATTTTATTATCTAACCATTGATAGAAAAGGTCCCAAATTTTATAAAATTGTTTATCCTCTTGTGTGGTAATATATTTTATTAGTCATTTTCTGTAAGTCCTTTGTACAGCCATTTCGCATAGATCTAGGGATATGCAGGCATTCTTGGTGGGGGTAGGAGTACCTTCGCAGTAAGTGTGCCTCATCCTGTTGTGATCTGCGGGCTTAGAAGGAACAGGAAAATAGGTAAAAGTTCAAGGTACACAGCTGGGACTTTCCTATGGGACTTTCCGTGCCTGTATGTTCTCATGGGACTTTCCGTGGCTGTATGTTTTCATCCTG